GATTTAACACCAATCCTTCATACACTTCCAACAATAGAAGAGGGAGCACACTTCCTAACTTATTCTGTGAGTCCAGTATTGTCCTGATAGCCAAACCAGATGAACAAGAAAACTACAGACCAGTATCTCTTTTGGATATATATGTAAAAAAATACTCATCAAAATACTAGCAAAAAGTGGAAACAAATTGCTGTCGGTGGATGAATGGATAAACAAAATGTGTTATATCCATACAGTGAAATATTATTCAGTCATAAGAAGGAATGAAGTACTGATCCATGCAACCACATGGATGAACTTTGAAATTATGCTAAAGAAAGAGCCGGTAATAAAAGACACATATTGTATGATTCCATTATATAAAATGTCCAGAATCTCTGTAGAAATAGAAAGTATATTATAGTTGTAAGGACTGGGTAATGGGGAGTTACTGTTAGTGGGTACAGGGTTTCTTTTAGGATGATGAAAATATTCTGAAATTGAGTAACGGTGATGTTGCAGAATTCTGTGAATATACTAAATACCGCTGAATTGAGCACTTTAAAATGGTACAATGCATGATTTTTGAATTACATTTCAATAAAGCTGTTTTTAAAAGTATGACTGAAGAAGCACACTTAGTAGCCAAAAATACTTTATAAGGGATTCCATTCCTTACTTGCCTCTTATAAAGAAAACTGAAAGAAATCAAAATATATAGTTCTCTATCCATTGCCCTCTGTCCTTGTATCTGCTCTGCAACCCTTTCCTTAGAACTTGGCAAAAAATAAACAAACAAACAAACAAAAATGTGTTCTTACTTTCTCTTACCACTTCATTTCTAAGCCCTTCATTGTGTAAATAAACTTAGCATCTCTGACAGTGAGAAAGAACTCATCTTCTTCCCAAGAAAGAAGGGGATGAGGAATAGCCTGGAAGTTACAGGATAATTTTGGTAGACCAGGGGAAGAAGGACATCTGCACACACTCCACACAAAACTTTTATTCTGTCCCATATGTTTGTATATGTAGAAACAGGACATAACATACATTTAATGTGATAAAGCAAACCTTTTTAGTTAATGATGCAGGTTAAAGGAGGGATTCCTGAAGTGATGTCAGATTGTAGGAAGGATTATCATTTCCCTTTGCCCAGCGCCCCATCTGTCCCTTCATAGAACCTGGTTCTTTCCAGTGCTTGGAGAGGACATAGAAAGGAGAATTTTCTAATGTAACTGAAGGTAAGGACACTAATGCGTCATACTGGATATAGGAGACATCCTAAAGGGAATTAACCTTTGCCGTGTGAATTGTTTCTGAGTGGTTGCTAGGTATTGTCACTCCTAGGCCAGTTCAGTTTGATTCTTCTTTCTTTTTCCTATTCACTTGCAGGTTTTGAAGCTCCCTTCCTCCCCTAGGGTGTTAGAGGAACTGGATGGCACACAGAGTGACTAAAACCATCAGTGGAAGCAGGACACACGGTGAGGTGGGTAGAGAAGTGGTTATAAAGCCTGAGGTAATTTTGAGGGAGACAAGAGAAGACACAGGGAGAGGACCCCTGGGGAGTACTTTCTGATCATTGAGGTCACTGGGGCCACCCAAGAGTCTAGAAGTAAGGCCCTGTGCCTAAAAGTTGAAATCAGAGATGACCCAAATAAATGGCGCAAGTCAGTCGCAAATCTTTGCCATCCCAATGGCGAGTGGGTTGGAATATTATATTACACTTCAGCCTGATGTAATAATAGATAACACTTAATGGGATTCTGTACCTGTATTTGGTTGGTTGAAGGAGTGGGTAGGTCACTCTTACCATCACTCCCAGATTTCCAGCCAGCTCTTTGATTCCTCCAGGCTAAAGGTGGGGAGGTGAAGGGAACCACGAGTGGGACCACCCAACATTCTCTTCCCTGATAAACAACCTACTTTCTTGGTTTCAATAATATAAATTCATGTCAAGGAAGAAAAATTTAAATGTCTTCTTTCTATGTTATGTTAATCCAGGTCCCGGTTACATATAGTTTCCTCATATTGGGGGATCAGATGTATGGCTTGCTTTGTGAAGTGATTCTTGATTACATTAGTAAACAGACACATTTGAGGTGACAATGAGAGTGATTCCGAATTAGGGGAAGAGAAAGGAATGAAATTCAGAATTAATACTTTAATGAATAGGAAAAGAAATATTCAGTAATTTTATAAAAATGACTAAATGCCAGCTCTATTTGATAAACATCCCAGAGAAACCTACAAAAGCTGAGAGTCCTTGAATCTGGCATGGTCCACTCCTCCTAAAAGAATCAATCCCCAGAGATTTGTTGCAGCCATCTACTGGGGATTGTGTGCTAATAAGACCTTCAATGAAAGTGATCTAAATTCCTGTCCAAATAAATAAATAAAACCACTGCTCTCACACCTCAGAGTTTGTAAAATTTTTCATTCTTGGACTATTCAAGTGTGTTTAATAACCAAAATCACACCTATTTTTATGAGTTGGGCATAAATGACTCTTGTGCCAAAGTAATTTAGCATTGGCAGGGGCTGGGTTTCTTCCATTGTTATTGTTCTAATGCCTAGAAAAATGCTTTGTCTGAAGCATATTGCAGGACAAATACATCTTTTGAGTGTCAGATTTCATATGCCTCATCTTTTCCTAGTCCCTTACCTGTCATTATATGAAACTTTTATGACTATTTGCAGACAAAGACAAGAAACACAAAGGGAAGAAAAAGAGCATAGTTCAGTAAATAACAGATCAGCAAATTTAAGCTCAGCTGAGGAATTCAGCTCCCAGGCCCTAGACTGCTGAGGAGGCTGGATTCACGCATAGTTGGCACTGGTGAGTCATAGAGACGAGCCTTAAGCACCCTTGTGTCTTACTGTTAGGGGGGATAACCCTCTTCAACTACTAACCAAATCACAAAATCTCACATCAAAGGCTTAATCTGCTTGCCTCTGTTTCTTGACCTGCAAATTGAATCTACCAGCATTGTACTCTCCTTTGATACACATTATTACTGTAAAATATTGCTAATAAAAAGATTAGAAAAGTAGATGACAGGCATAAATTAAATAAATATAAATTAAATAAAGATGATAGACTGTAGGCATAAAGAGAAGAACTTTGATTTCTCCATAACAATAGTAGCCTACATTTACGGAGGGCTTTATTATGTGCCAGGAATTATTCTGAATACTTTATTTATTTAGCCACTTATTTAATCCTTTGAGAAACCCCATGAGTTCAGTATTTCATCTATAACATGCAGAGAATAATAATATGTCACAAAATTGTTGGAACCATCCCAGGCACAGAGGAAGCACTCAATAAATGTTAGCTGTGATTATTTGGCTCACAGTCTACTCTACTCTTTTTCATTCCTTGAAAATTCAGGCACTTGCTTTCCTCCAGTTTTCTGGCATTTTTTTTCCTTCTCTATGAGTTCGCAAAAGTCACACACTCAGGAACACTTTCCGTGTTTTAGGATAAGATGTATAGAGCTTGAAACATTGGATGCATTTAAAGCAACAGTGCACATTTCCTTGGTATCTCTTCTCCTTTCCTGTCTTTCCATTCTCTTTTTGCTGAGGTTTATACCATGCTTACCTTGATAATAGTCTTTTTTTTCTTTGCACTTTTGCCTAGTAATTATGTTGTAATCTTTTTTTATTGAAGTACAGTTGATGAACATTATTATATAAACTACAGGTTACAATATAGTGATTCACAATTTTAAGGGTTATACTGCATTTACAGTTATTATAAAATATTGGCCACATTCCCCGTGTTGTACAATACACCCTTGTAGCCGATCTTACACCCAATGGTTTGTACCTCCCACTCTCCATCTCTATATTGCTTCTCCCTCCTTCCCTCTCCCCACTGGTAAACACTAGTTTGTTCTCTGTATCAGTGAGTCTGTTTCTTTTGTGTTATATTCATTAGTTTGTTGTATTTTTAGATTCCACGTATAAGTAATATCATACAGTGTTTGTCTTTATTTGTTTGACTTAATTGACTTAGCATAACACCCTTCAAGTTCATCCATGTTGTTGCAAATGGCAAAATTTCATTCTTTCTTATGGCTGAGTAATAGTGTGTGTGTGTTTGTATCTCACATCTTCTTTATCCATTCATCTGTTGATGGACACTTAGGTTGCTTCCATATCTTGACTATTGTAAACAGTGCTGTTGTGAAGGTTGAGGTGCATATATCTTTTTGAATTAGAGTTTGTCTTTTTTGGATGTATGCCCAGGAGTGGAACTGCTGGCTCATATGGTAGTTCTATTTTTAGTCTTTGAGGAACCTCCACACTGTTGGACAGTGGCTGCACCAATTTATATTCCCACTAAAAGTGAACGAGGGTTGATGTTTGAATAATATATTTAAATTTCCAAAGTAATTTTGAATGTGTTCTCTCCATATAGCAGAGTGATCTTTGGAGCTGAGCTTTAGGGCGAGCTATAGGCTGGTGTCCTAGCTCAGCATCTACTGGGTGTGTAATTTGAAGTGATTTGCCAACCTTCCCTCTAAACCAGTGACCCACAGACTGAAGGCAATAATAACTGAAAACTAGTTTTCAAATCTTTAAACATCTTGAAATTTCTAAAACACATGTTAAAGTTTCCCAGTTATGGTAAACTGTCAGATGGAAGGGACAAGAAGGCTCTTAGCAGTTTGTCTGTGTAGAAATTATAGCTGGAAAGCAGATGTCTGGCCTATTCAAATTTTACTCTGAGTTGGCAGCACCTTTCTATCTTGTGCCTAAAGTGAGAAGGCATCCAACGGTAACATCCAGTCATTGGCAGGTGAACACCTGAGCGGCAAAGAGAAATTTGTTTTT